CAACCAACCAGCCCCTCGCTTAGATGGTTCCTTATCTACCTGAGGAATCTATATCTGCACAAAAACTGTACACAATGAAAACATCCCTTTTTGACTTTACCCCATCCCTAGTACTCTCTATTCCTCTCCCACTTTTCTTTTTCTCCTTAACATTTATCACTGTCTAAACACAATTTACTTATTCATTTTTTGTCTTCCCCAGTAAAATTAGCCTAAGAGGGCAAGAATTTTTGTCTGTTTATACCACTGCTGTCTACCCAGTACCTAAGAGCACATAGTAAATGCTCAATAAACATTTGTTGATTAAATAAATGCCAACAGTTTTATACCTGCAAATTCTGTTTGATATATCCTCTTTTCCATTATGGTTTCCAAACCATTCCCTTCAGTCATTCTTGCATGCCTGCTGTATTGGCCCTCCATCCTCTTAGAATTTTTCCTGCCAGCTGCTAGGCAGAGTATAGCTAGACTTGGATCTGTGATTAGGTGTCACATAAAATCTTCTTTTACCCTGACTCTCTTCCATTTTACCTAGGTGCCAATACTTATCCCTATGTTACCCCCACCATCAAACTTTTCTCACTTTGTCCAGTCCAGTGCATTGCTAGAGAAGATCAAAGATTCATGCTGGATTGGACCAATAACAATTCCTGGTAGAACTCAATGCTCAAAATCCATGGTAAACAGAAGAAAAAGAACCCCCGGGGTTAGGAATTAGAGCTGAATTTCAAAATTGGGCATGATGTACACTACCTGGTATCTTTGGCTGAGTCAGGCCCTTTATGAACCTGTTTTTTCATCTGTGAAATGGGGGTAATAGTACCTACTTTCATATTCATGATTATATTTTAAATGAAATAATGTACATGAAAGCTCTTAGCAGATTTATAGGCATATAGAATGTGCTTAATAAATGCTTGGTCCTTCTCTTCCTTTAATTTAATACATTTCACTAACCTCCAGTGAGGCCCTCGCTCTTTGAAAATGACTAACACCTGCTTAGTGAGAAAATCCATGTTTTCTTGTGTAAATCTTAATTCTCCTCTTCTCTCATGTCCATATCAGAATTGTAGGTCTTCACTCATCCTCTCTCTTCTTTTCTAAGACTAACCCTTTTTCCATGGCAATAGTTTTTTTAACCCTGGCTGCACATTAAAATCAATCGGGGAGCCTTAAAAAATGAAGACGTCTGGGCCCATCAAAGACCAGTTAAATACAAATCTCTGGAGGTGAGAACACAGCATCAGTATTTTTTTACAATCGTTGGTAGCATGACAAGACAATTGAATTGGCGGGGAAGGGAAAGAACAATCTTTTCAACAAATATTGCTGGAACTGGATGAATATACTCCTTCAATGAAACTGAACCCATGAATAAAAAAGAACTCAAAATGGATCATAGACTTAAATGTAAGAGCTAAAGCTATAAAACTCTTAGAAAGAAAAACAGGAGTGAATCTTTGTAACCTTGGCTTAGGCAAAGCCTTCTAGATACGACACAAAAAGCACAAGTAACAAAAGCACAAGATAAATTGAACTTTATCAAAATTAAAAATTCTGTGCTGTAAACACTATCAAGAAAGTGAAAAGACAACATACAGACTACAATAAAATATTTGCAAGGCATGTATTTGGTAAAGAACTTATATCCAGAATATATAAGGCACACTTCATCTCAATAATAAAAAGATAAATAACCTGATTTTTTACATGGGCAAAAGATGCGAATAGACATTTCTCCCAAGAAGAAATACAGATGGCCAATAAACACATGAAAAGATGCTCAATATCATTAGCCATTAGGGAAATGTAAACAAAACCACAGGAGTCACCGCTTCAAACTCACTAAGAAGGCTCCAATCAAAATAATAATAATGTGTTGATGAGGATGTGGAGAGATGGAAACCCGCATCACTAGTGGGAGTGTAAAATGGTACAGCTGGTTATGGAAAAGAGTTTGCATTTCCTGAAAATGTGAAAGTTATCATATGACCCAGCAATTCTACTTTTAGGTACATAACCAAGAGAAATAAAAACATATTTTCACAAAAAAACTTGTTCACAAATTTTCATAGCAGCTCTCCATAACAGCCAAAAAGTGAAAACAATTCAAATGTCCATCACTTGAATGGATAAATAAACTGTGGTATAAATATACCATTGTACAAGGGAGTATGATTCAGTAATAGAAAGGTATGAAGCACTGATATATTCCACAACATGGATGAACTTTGAAAAGCTCATACTAAGTGAAGAAAGTCACACAAAAAAAGTATCTTACAAGATTTCATTGATAAGAAATGGATCAGAATAGGCAAATCTATGTGTCAAGAAAGCAGATTACTGGTTGCCTAGAGCTGGGGGTGCTGAGGGGAAATGAGTGACTGCTAATGGGCATGGGGTTTCCTTCTGCAATGATGAAAACGTTCTAAAATTGATTGTAGTGAGGGCTGAACAACTCTGAACATACTAAAAACCACTAAAGAGGGGGGGGAGGGAGGGAATCAGGGAGGGAGGAAGAGAAAGAGAGAGAGATAGATTGGTTGCCTTTTCATACACATCTCCCAGGTAATTCTAATCTTAAAGTCTATTTACAGAGACCAGCTTCTAAACCACAACACTGTTATCTTGTGTGGTAATTTACCCTCTAGAGTCCTCAGGGGTAAAGATGGCATCTTATCTAAATCTTTCTCTCTCCCATATCCTTAAGGAATAATACCCTTAAGGAATAATACCCGACACAGGGCAGAAATGTGTTGTCTTTAAATTTTTTTTAAGTAAAAGAGTGTTCTTAGGGGAATGTTGTTTATTTTCATTAAAATTTCAAGAGTCAGGCTGCCATCTGGCAGAATTGATCATATTGTCTATCTCAATTCATTTGAACCCTCCAAGTAATTATTTCAGCTGTAGCACAGAGAGAGAGAGGGTGTAGACAGTGCAAACCAAACTGACCGGTTCTGCCATCCAAAGTATGGTTGTTTTGTCATCTACCAGTGGATGTGGCCTCTGGCCCTTAGGAACCATTCTTTTGACAGTTCCCCAGGACATGGCTCTGGTTTGACTGACTTTGTTTACTAAATAAATTAATTCCTACTTCTGGAGCAGCTTCAATTTTTAAACAGAAAGCCATCTATTGACGGTCACTGATACACAGGATTTTATTGTTTGATATTAAACAATTAAGAGTTATTGTTTTTTTCCCTACAAGTACACTATACATGAAAATAAATATCATCTAGAATACAGCCACTAGGAATGGAGAGAGAAGGAGATTCTATAGCCACTCTCGGTCTTAAAGGGAAAGTTTTACTTTACTAAATCCATAATGCAGACTGTATTACTTGCATGAAAATAAAGCTCTATCTTGGCAAAATGTACGTAAAAAAAACAGTGTAATCAACAGTGATCTAGTAGATTTCAATAACTTAAAATAACTTTGAAATTGCTACTTTCAACAAAGCCTCTGAAGGTACACACAAAAATATATTTAAGTAAATCTAGATGCTCACAAATATAGGGGACTATGTCATTTGTTTAACCCAGCACATAAAAAATAGCAAAATATGAAACCATAGTTGTCTGAAATAGAACGAAGATCTGGTTCAGAATCAGGCAGTTTTCCTTTCTATAACACTAGTGAGTTTAAATGGACTCAGAAAAAAAAAAAAAATGAGTGAGGGAAATGCCAAGATGAGAAACAAAAGAGAATTCTAAATCCTCAGGTAATTTTGAAATGAAATGACTTTACAGTTGGAAAATTCATTAATAAGGTATCAGTAGAGCCATAATTTAGAAGCCTTGTTTCATGAGAAAAGATTAGAAATATGAAATTCTCAAAACTAAGTACTGATTATACAAGGTAAACATGACAAGGCTAGATGATAAGAAATAACAGACATTTTGCTCCCCCGACTCTTACTAGAAAGGACAACGAGATACATGCCACAGACTAGAACACAAATTGCTCAAAGTGAGGCAGTCGGAAAATGCTATTAGACTACTTGGGTGGAGGAGCTGCCCAGAGGCAGAATATGTCACGATGTCACATCTCCTTTTTTCACTATCACAATTTCCACCAGAATAAACCAGAGCTTTGGAAAACAAATTCAATCACAAACACCAACTTTTTGTTAAAACTCCAAGCAAACTATTAAACTAACAACACACTGAACACATCAGAACTTTTCCATGTTTCCCAAACACTGTGGAATAAACTATTTTCATTATCTTAGAAAAATAGTCATGTGCTTTTCTAGATAATTATGGAATGTATTAAGAAACCACGTCTTAGTTTTCATTAGGGGATATTAAAAAGTCAGAACTGAAGGATAATATCCCTTTTGCCTCTGGTGTAGGCTTTCAGGTTTTTGGAAATATAAATAAAATGTACAGAATGACATAAATAGCTGCAAATATATAAACGACACCACTTCAGCTGCCATAACAAAAGCTTGAGGGGGAAATGGTTGGACAAGTATTCCTTCACCCCAAATAGCAATTCCAAGATATTGGTTGTCGCACAATTATGAAACAAAAGCAAGGTGAAGGGTGAGAAACAACAGAAAGGACAGCAGGAAGGAAGGCAAGTGCTCAGCAGGATAGATCCTGCTCCTTCTGGCTGGCGGGGCTTTTCCCAGTACCTTTCTGGTATCAGTTCCGGGATTTTCCTCCAAGACAATCCGCATCATCTCTCAGAGAAATGAAACTCCCTTCAAGGAAAGCCAAGCCGGCACCCAGAGGTAACGTGCAAAACCGTAAAAGAAAAATGTCCACGTCTAGCAGGCAGACAAGCAAAGAAAAACCAGCTGTCAGTTCCAGAGGCTCCTAGCTGTAACGGGGTTTCAGGTTTCTCTCTGCCTCTGTCTGTCCGTCCGTCTGTCTCTCACCTTGTCTCCCTCAATAATATCAGCTTTCTAATCACCTCCAATCACAAATACATACTCCATCTGTCCTTGTGAAATACATGCTGAGGGAACAGAAAAATAGAGTGCGATACTCACAACAATGAAGAATTCCTACACATGCCGTTCCATTTTCTTGCTTTAAAAAGATGAAAGGTTAATTTAAAAAGCCTTGCAGAATTAGAAAAATAAGGGGGAGGGGGATTCCACCTACACAATCCAACAGCCCACCGCAAAGGAGCCCGAAGGCTTGCTGACGTCACAGATTCATGAATGGATGTAAATTGGGCTGGTTTAGGATTCCGCACAGACTTCGCTGTGGTGTGTGCCATGAAAAAGAAAGGGCGGGTCCAGAGCAATCCCAGCCAATAGGCTTCAGGCAGGCATGGCCTGCCTCCTTTTAGAAGGAATCTGGTCACAGAATAAACAGAGCCCGCCAATCAGGTGTCTGCCACGGCCTCAAGACAGACTGGCTGGCAGCTTGAGGACGAGGGTGGGTGAGGTGGGGGGTGGGGGTGGGGGTGGGGGTGGGGTGTGTGTGTGTGTGTGTGTGTGTGTGTGTGTGCGCGCGCGGCGCGCGCGCTCTGATAGTCGGGTGTGTGTTTCAAGCTGTGATAGTCACGAACACATTATTATTGCTATTGAATGAGGGGATCAAAACAGAATTTCAGTGGACTCAATGCTGCCAAAAATGCATATAAATGACAAGCTTTTACCCGTTAGAGGTATTTTCTTGAACGCTTTTCTTGTTGTTCAGCAATGTGCGTGATCCAATGTGATTTAAAAAAAAATAAAAGTCAGGGAAATAGTTTCCAAAACTGATGACCAAGGGACACGTTTGCCCCGAACACCAAGACTTGTCAAAGCAAAATAGGAGGGAAATAACCTAGTGATTAAGGAAATTAAAAAATATAAGGTAATATTACATAAACGTAATTGTTTTGTAGAACAATATCATCTTGCTGACCATGTGATGCTTCAAAAGTGGGTGTGGAAGAATAATATATTGCTACCTTTAAATAAGGTAAGGCATTTCCTCATTTGTTTATTAAACATCTGACACGGAACTAAGACACAGCTCCCAAAAATCTCTTAATGAGTATTGTATCAAATTTTGATTTTAGTAAGATGCCTCATTTAGTAAGAAACCTCAAAAACAACTGTATTAAATTCACTAAAAGAGTGCATGACATTTTTTAAAAATTAAAATAAACTCCAACAGCTTTATTAAAGTACAATTGATATACAAAAAAACTGTACATAGTTAATGTGTACAATCTGATGGGTTTGGCAATATACAAACATCTGTGATACTCTCATCATAGTCAAGGCAGTCGACATATCCTACTATCGAAGAGTTTCCTTCTGTTACTTTGTGGTTTTTTGTTGGTTTGGTTTTTGCGGTAAGAACACTTACCAGGAGACCTACTCTCTTAGCAAATTTTGAAGTACTGTACACAGTACAATATTGCATTTTTAATTATAGGCACTATGTTTACAGCATATCTTTAGAACTTACTCATCTAGCATAACCAAAACTTCATACCCATTAAATAACTCCCCATTTCTTCTTCTCCCAACCCCTGGCAACCACTATTGTATTCTCTGTGTCTATGAGCTGGCTATATGATTTCTCATGTAAGTAGAATCATGCAGTATTTGCCCTTTTGTGACTGGCTTATTTCACTTAACATAATATATTCCAGGTTCATTTGTGTTGTTACAAATGGCAGTGTTTCCTTCTTTTTTAAGGCTGAGTAATATTGCTTTGTATGTATATCCCGCATTTTCCTTATCCATTCATCTATCATTGACACTTGGATTATTTTCATGTCTTAGGTATGGTGAATAATGCTGCAATGAACATAGGAGTACAGATATCTCTTTAAGATCCTGAATTTAACTATTTTAAATATATACCGAGAAGGTAGATAGTTGGATCACATGGCAGTTCTATTTTTATTTTTATGAGGAACTTCCACACTGTTTTCCATAGTTGCTATACCATTTACATTGCCAACAACCTTGTCAATAAGTGTATACAAGGGTTCCAGTTTCTCCACAACCTTGACGATATTTATCTTATTTTTTAAAATTACAGTTAACCTAAAAAGTATGAGGTGATATCTCATTGTAGTTTTGATTTACATTTTTTAAAAAATTTATTTATTTTTAAAGAGAGGGGAAGGGAGGGAGAAAGAGAGAGAGAAACATTGATGTGAGAGAGAAACGTTGATCTTTGCTTCTTGTATGCCTCTTGACCAGGGACTGAACCCACAACGCGGGCATGTGTCCTGACTGGGAACTAAACAAGTGACCTTTCACTCTATGGGATGAGCCATACTGGTCAGGGCTGATTTTCATTTTCTTGATAATTAATGGTGTTGGGCATCTTTTAATATACATGTTGGCCATTGGTATGTCTTCTTTGAAGAAATGTCTATTCAAGTTCTTTCCCATCTTTCATATCAGTCTTGGTGATGATTTCTCAGGTATAACACCAAAAGCACAGTCAACAAAAACAAAAATACACAAATGGGGCTACATCAAAGTAAAAAGCTTCTGGACAGCACAGGAAACAATCAGAATGAAAAGGGCACTACAAAGGGAGTATATACTTGCAAACCATGTATCTGAAAAGGAATGAATTTCCAAAATATATAAGGAACACATACAACTCAATAGCACAAACACAAATAACTCAGGACATTTCTTTACTACATAAAAAAGTTCAAAGTTACACAAAAGTGGAGATTAATATAATTTACTGCCCTTTTATCCCATCACTTTGCTTAATAATTAAAAATACTTTACTAATACTGATCACAACATTTTTGAACATGAGAAATGGTATTAAGTCCTTCAAAATGGAACAACAGTGATTAATATAAGGCCTCAGACATGAAGTGTCCAGTGACGGGGAATATTTTGAACAGTGATCTCTTCTCTCAATCAGATTATTTGTACAGCTGAGAGGAGAAAAGCACTTGCTGCTTCTTATGGCAAATTCAAACCCTACGCTAGTTAGTATTGCACACTGCTTAGCTCATTTGGAAAAAAAATTTTCCAGGATTATTGCACACATGGCAAAGATGTTCAGTGTGCTATTCTATATATTAAAGCAATAGAATATCATTGGCAAATGACATATTCAACAAATTTTTACAGGACCTTATTGTGGAATATTACAATGGAAAAAATAAACCAAAGAAATTTACCTATGTAAGATGGGAGTGCTCAAAACCAATGCAGCACTTGTATATTCTTCATAGGCCGGAGTGCACCACAGTGGTTTATATCAGTATGTCCATGTCCCCAGATTATTTTAGAACCCACAAATGAAAACACGAAAAAAATACATCTCTCTTTCTTTTAACAGCAATCAAAAGCAACCAGGATATGCTGAAAGAATCACATTTACAGAAGACATTTTTTCTTCCAAAATAATACAGACTAACTCATAGAAGGGAGCAACCTCTTTGTGGGACATGTCAATAATATGGCCAGTCTGTTACAGAGGCTTACATTTGCTGTAAGGATTGATGACAACATCATTAGGAAGAGTAAGTTCACCAGGGATCAGGGTAGTGTCTGAAGCAATTCAACAAAATAGTCTATAAATGCTTCAAATAACTGTCACATAACATAGACTCAATATGTAATCTGGCAAATAAAATCTAGTTGGTTCTATGGACTTGCCGTTTTAGTAAGCCACATTCAGTCTGGGTTAGCATGCTTCCCTGTACTGCAGAAATAATATTAACTGGGCAAACAAAACTTTCTCCGTGTCAAATATCATTGGGAAGATAAGTTGTTTTCTCTCCAAATTACAAAAGCTGTAGAGGTCATTCTTGGAGGAAGATGTTGTTGTTTTAGGGACAGAGGAGGGCAGGGAGAGGAGGCCAAGAAAATATACATTCCACAGCAGCACTGCTGGAAAACTTCCAGTGATGATGGAAATGCTCTGTCATTTGCACTGTCTAATAGAGTAGCCACATGTGGCTACTTAGCATTTGAATGTGTCTAGGAACTGAATTGTAAATTTTATTTAATTTTAATTCACTTAAATTTAAAAATAAATGTAAATAAATAAAATAAATGTGGCTGGTGGCTACCATATGGGACACAGCAACTCAAGATACATTAAGCCAAGTCTCATCATCACAAGTCATTTTTTATTTCAGCATGTGGGCAGGCTAAGTGTGGAAGACTACAAAATCACTATCAAGGTGATTAAGCTCTTTAATTGACCAAACAAAACTGTTTAACTTTCAATAATGACTGGAAGTTGATTGTGGTCTCATTTCCAAGGAGATATTCAAAACTCATTATTAGAGCCCTGACTGACATTGCTCAGTTGGTTGGGCATTGTCCAGCATAGTGAGAGGCTGCCAGTTAGATTCCCAATGAGGGGTATATGCATGGATTGCAGGTTCAGTCTCAATCGCAAGAGGCAACCTATTGATGCTTCTCTCTCACATCAATGTTTCTCTTGCTCTCTTTCTCCCTGCCTTCCCCTCTCTCTAAAAATAAAGAAAACCTTAAAGAAAAACTCATTATTAGAAGAAAATCCCTAAGGATAGAAGTTAGGGGACTTCCGGTCAAGATGGTGGCACAGGTAAACACGGCTCGCCTCCTCACACAACTATATCAAAAATTACAACTAAATTATAGAACAACCATCACTCAGAATCGTCAGAAATTGAATTGAATGGAAGTCTGACAACAATGGAATTAAGGAAACCACATCCATCCAGGCTGGTAGGAGGGGCAGAGATGCAGAAGGGACTGGTCCCACAACCATGTGTGGCAGATAAAAATTTGAAAGGGATATCTCAGGAGCAAGGAGTCCCAACCTTATTTAACAAATCTGAAAAGGGAAGCCCCCCCAGCCCAGGCTTCCAAGGCTAGGAAGATAAGTTCTGGCTGCAAAAGCCAGTGGAAACTGAGTCCATGGAAGAAACTTTTGGAGTCCCAGAAGTTCTCCTTAAAGGACCCACAGACACGGGCGTACTCAGATACACTCCCTCTGAGCTCCAGCACTGGGGTGGCAGTTTGAAAGGCACCCGTAACATACAGGGGGAAACTGAAGTGTCTGGCATCAAGGCAAGAGCTGAGGGACAGCTTTCTCCCAGACAGAAAGGCAGACAGAGGCCATTGTCCTTTTTCTGAACCCTCCCCCAACGGAGCCACAGAGCCGGCAGGCAGGTGCCATATTTGACACTCCATCAACCTTGCTAACACTGTTTGTCCTGCCCTGGAGGTCTACTGAGACTCTGTTCCACCCAACTTACAGGCCCACACAAGCTGCCAACAGAGACTTTTC